TTGCTTATTGTGTGTCTTCTGAAGGCTTGTATTTGGAATTCTGCAGTTATAAGAAGCCTCTTTTATGGTGTTTTGAACTGTTCCAATTTTCGGAAACTATAGAAGAACAGAGTGGAATGGAGATGCACTACTGAAGCCCTATGTTTCACTAGGAACCCAAGGAACAAATAATGATATAACAGTAATACAAGTTTCTCCTAGAAGACAACAGTCAAATAAACGCAGTAGCAACACGTTTTTTGCCCTCTCTACCTTTCGATGATTTAGCAAGCTTGGATAGTTATTGCTACGAGTGACGTCTCACCTTTATTTTAGACATAAAAAGTGATTCAACTAGCTTGCCCATCTGTTATAAAATGGTATTTACTATCAAGTAACATTCATACTAGTTTATTTGTTTACCCATCTAGTTTCATGTGAGTCAATTCGCTTATGGTTGTTAATAATGACCACCACCATAGAAAACAACTTGTATGAAGTTGTATGTCAATAGAAATGCTACTCCCAAACAAATGTTTATTTACTACTGACCTTTATTTGTCAGTTTTTAAGGAGGGAAACATCTTAAATAAATAGGGAGCATTATCTGAATCAAAGTGAATGTTTGGTGTTTCATAAAGCTTGGTTTTTATTCTTCACAATCACTTTGACTTATTCAAGGGAGTGTGAACTCAGTTGGGAGTTAGATAAGCGGTATAAATAAAGCTTGTTTCTATAGAAAAAATATGATTACGGTGAACATGAACCAGATTGACAGAAGACCAGTATGCGCAACTAGTTTTTGGGAACAGAAGATAAGATTGTTCACGGATACAATGATTAAGAACAACTGCTCAATAAAGTTTATAATTCGAACAAAGTGGACGGAACAGTGAGAAATACTGTCTACTATGCCCTTAAGAAAGATATATTCGTCAAGTTTCCATACTTTGGTGATGCGAATAGCTTGATAGTCGGACCGAACCTTAACGCTGCTGTCAAGGAAACATATTATCCAGCTAAGGTTCGAATAACTGAAAATTTGAAGCCTATGTACCCATCGAAACCCTCGGAACAGGTGAAAGATGAAATCATATCTCACTGTAGTTACCGATTTAAATGTAAACATGGTCACGCATACTTAGGGAGGACTCATCGGTCGTTGAGAAGAAAGAGCCAAAAACATATTCCAGAGTGGCTGCAGAAACAAATAGAGTCACCTGGAGGAAATGATTTTGGAAACAAACATCGGGGCCCGTAAATTGTTAAACATACTATTTAAACAAGGCATAAGCTGGATGTACAAATATCATTCAAGCACATCTGTGAGAAGTATTGAGGATTTATTCTGAAGTTTGTCAAGGCATTAGTCATTTTGAAGTTTACGACACCTTTATGAGTTCAAAAACAGTTTGCCATTACATTAAAACTTCTTTCGTAAATTGATAAAATAAAGATAATTGGGATAGCATTTCTTTCATTTATCACCATCTTGGTTTTCTGTTTCTGCTTAAATGATGTTTTGTCCGAATAAAAACCATGTTGATGCGAATACTTCCCCTATAAATCTCCTTATCAAGCTTACCGAAAATCCAGTTTTTTTAAATGTTGATTTGTTGACTTTGAGAACGTTATCTTGGAGTAATATTTGGACACTATTTCCCTTGCAGTCGGTCGACTAAGTACTGTTGGTGAATGACACTGATACCACTACATAATGCTGGAAATTTATCATTAACTAAAAACCAATGATTTTTCAGAAAAGATTTGGATGGTATTTCACTCCTATACTCAGGTGTGTTTATCGAACTTTGAGGAGCACCAAAATAAAATGAACAGTTTTACAGTTTTCCTCAGTTTTTAAAACCTTATAATCGTGTAGATAAGTGACAGTCTTCACCTGTTCAACACTTAAATTAGTCAATTTGTCTTAGAAGTCTAGTGTACACAAGTAAACCACAAGTAAAATTTATACATTTCATGGAATATTTTATCTCCGCTGTTGTTGAACTATACGACTGTTAATGATGATCGATGGAAAGCATTCAGTTGACCATTGTAGCTATAGGTAGGACCGTATTACTTTGAAAAATAATTTATTTTAACCAAAGCTTTCGTTATATTGTGAGTTAAAAGCACTTGTAAATGCTGAATACCATAAAATATTATGTAAATTCGACTTGAAAAAGATTGCTAATTAATGTATAATATAACTTTTGGCATACAGTCGATCAGTGTAAAATGGGGACAGTCACATTTGCGAAACACTGTTCAAGTGACAAAGCTTTCTCGAACTGAATATGAATATTTCTTGTAAAATATAGATCTGTTTTATAAAAAATATGACCTCTTAAATATTGTCACAGTTTTTTTTAGCTGTAGACAACCAGTAGTATTGTGATAAGGATGACATTCTTCACTGTCGCCTAATCAGCTTTCTTTTTAACCTTCAGCAGGTTGTATTCATTCGATGAGCAATTTACAAAGATATCAAACTGGTTGACTACTGTGAATCTAAGGTTCGTGTGACCGTATTAGAAAATCCATTAGTCACCTGACAAAACTGTTTTGCCCTTTCGCTACTTCCAAGATTAATGAAAATGGTCTAATACTACTAATAGCACTTCAGTAACCAATCTATTTATTTATTAAAGACACCAACTTTTAAAAAAATTTTTGAAGTTTGGATGTCAAGAGATCAGTCATTCCTTCATGGGTCTCAATATATTGATGTCAACTTCAATGTCGCTTGAATAGTACTTATGAATTAAAAGATATCACTCGTAACGCGTGATTCTAAACCTCAAGTCAATTCACCTGATGAAAGAGAACCATAATGTTAACAATTACAACGCAGCTATTATGAGACAACGAAATGCTTAGGTTTACAGCATTACTTGAGTTTTTAAGGCAAATGAATGGTCATCAAGAACGTATTAGTATCGATGTTGGAGGTTTAATAAATACCAGCTGATTTAAAGATTCACTCAGTTTTATTCTGTTAAGTAGATGGCTGAAAATATTTTTGAATCTTATCTGGCTGATATTCAACAAAGAATAACTACGACTGCTCTTGAACTTGGAGTATTTAGGAACTCTACTGTCAAAAGCCAAATTCAATTTTCTTAAATACGACTTCAGTCGAATATGGGAATAAGCATTTTCAAGTGAACTATTACATCCAAATTATTGTGGAAATGCAGATATTTGATAGTGAGTTGGAAATGAATATTCGATGGAATCTTCATTCAGTCTCCCACCTTCTAGGAGTCTAACCCAAGATCGTAAGGTTTGGAGGCGAACACTTTTACAACTCGTCCACTGGATTGGAACCCTATGACCCATATCACCTTATTTCTGTAAATTCAAGATATAGAACGATCATTTTACTAGTCTATTTTTTTCAAAATAAGATAAAGCACTGGTTGAAACCGTCATCAGTCTACTAGGTAAAGTCGTTTGTGTTAAGTGTTACAGAGAAGTAAGGTTGTTTTCGGCATGACTATAGCCTATATTACTTCTAAAGAAGTTGATTTACGCCCATTAAATAATCACTTCACCTCATCTTTATGTAGGGACTTACAATGAGGACTTTTTCTCATTTCATCATGAGAATATAAGCCTGAAACAAAGTGAGTAAATAATGCAGCTTATGCGTAAAAATCAAGCTTTTCTTGTTAGTTTATATGTAGTGCATTTCTACCTCAAATAAAAAGACCTCTCTGAAAATGAGTACTTTCAGCAGAATAATATGAAACTCATATTTTTCATAGTGATGCCAAGAATAATTAAGCTGAACATGTAGCATGACAACTTCCTGTTCTCTGACAGAAGACTGAAAAACATATTGCAGTTTGTGTAAGCATGCGACTACTTTTGAGTAGTCATTCACTTGTACATAAACGTGCACACTACTGTTCTCTACTGTGATCAAAATGCTTTCTTAAGTACAGAGAACTGTCAAATTGTTCAGCAAGTAAAAGCTTTACAAAACTTATATCTTGTAAGGAAATATTAGCGGTTTTACTTTGTGTAACTGTCTTCATTCAGGAAGTCTTCATCACAAACTGATAGAAATTTAAAAAGAATTGAAATCTACTTAGCACCGTATAATTTTATCACTTTTCTAGATCATAAATTAGACAAATAGAGTAGTACTACTTTTTGAATCTGATTAACTGGATGCACAGCAGCAAAGTTATCAGAGGATACAGAGTTTTACAGACGTTTTTAGACACAGAGAAACATGAACATTGATGAAGAGTAATAGTCTAAGGATAAAACTTCATGTATTGGTTTTTCAGATGATATTGTATGAAAATAGTAAAGAGATTGTAGATACTAGAAATACCAGTAATTTCCATAATCTCTAGACATCAACGTGTTATCGCTTAGATAGCAGATATCATAGAAAGAAATAAAAAAATTTCTGTGTTTAAAATTTCTAATTTAAAGGACTTTTACAAGCAACTGCTGAGATAAACCATTGAGAAGAAGCAATCACAGATTATTATTACAACACCTAATAGTCATGAGAGTTAGTGGTTAGCAGTATATTTCAGAAACAGCCTCCTATGAAGTAACGTTACTACTACTATGAACAGAATCACTCACTGGGAGGTAGTTACATCCAGCTGACGAGTACCAAGCAGGACGAAACGCATATCTTGGATTCCAGTGCTAGCAACTATCCTTCAATGATATCAAAATGAAACTGACGGCAATATAGCGTCATCTGTACAGAGCCTATATGCCTATAAGTACCAATCAATTCGATCGAATAAACGATAAGAAATACCAATGTCAGGAAAATCTTGAAAACGTTAACGAAAACTTCAGGAGACTGCGATTTCATAACTTCTAATCTAAAATGCTTAAATTAATAAGTGACCACATCTTCTTTAAATGTTATTCTGATTTCAATATACAGCATTTACACATTATTCTTTATTAATTCATCCATTTAGTAATTAAATGGCTGACAAAGTTATTTCTGTAATTTCTTCATGCATTTCTTAAAGATAATTATGGTAATTACGTTGCATTCGATGAGAATGGTGATGGTTATGGACAGTATTCAATTTACAACTATGCACGTGATCCATATACTGGTCAATATCATTATCGTTTAGTTGGAGATTTTCAAGGCGGTAAACTGACTATGCGTGCACGACCGATATGGCCTGGTGGAGAATCGAAAAATTTCCCAGTCAGCCAATGTTCTGAAGAATGTGGGTAAGTTAAGCCACTTTCTTCAAAACTTACTGCATTTTGATGACGTCTATGCCAAAACAAGCCGTTTTATTACATTTATCTGCCACTTTTATCAGCTAGGAAAGTGACGAAAACCAAGAAGCGTCGGAGAGTTTTCAGTTTAATTCCTACAGTTCTTTATTTGAATGTATTTATATCTTTATTATTGGTAACTTCTGAATAGTAGATATCTGTTAAAAGAATGGTTCTTATTTGAATTAGGCCCAGACACTGTAGAACTCTATATATTTCGCTACCTGTGTACTAGTAAGATCACCACACACAGAGGCTATCGAATCATGAATATATGCGTATGACTGGTACCAAAGTGTTTAGCGAGAAATCCATGGATTGAAGCGGTTGAAAGTGCTTTCTTTTCTCGACATATCTCTCCCTCTTTATTATTTAGCATTACTTTTTAAAGTTACACATCTGGACAGCGACGGGATTCGAACCAGCGACCACCAGGTTTCCAGCCCAGTGCTCCACCAACTGAGCTATGAAACTTCGCTGAGGACCGGATCTATATTTTATTTCAATCAACAAGGGTTCGAATCCTCCCACTGCCCGAATGTTTATTTCACTGTCAGTCATCACTCAGTATCAATTCAAATCTTCCAAACCAAAGTTTTTCCCAGTTTCAGAGAACGGCGATAACAGAACGTGTTCAACGTTCATGCAACTCGACCATTTAGAAATTCAGTAATCCATTTCCGAAGCTACATCTTTCTAGCATCTGACAGTAAATTCTGGAGTTTTGTCCTTAGTCTCGTACTATTCATCATCAAAGTTGGTGGGTGGTTTAAAAAGGTGCAAGCCTCTTCACTGAGATTTTAATACATACCATGATTTATCCCTTTTAGACCCACTCCACCATAATTCGATTATGCAAGACACATAATAGAATGAGCTTAGGGATGCACTAACAAGTTCATTAGTCGAGTAATACCGTTAATTCCCGGTTGTTATGTTGGGTCGAACTGCCCAACCTTTGTTGGCAGATGGACTCCTATACGGACGCCTCGATACCGCCTGCATATTCGTTATATGGCTTTCTGCTTGGCAGCCATCAGCAGAATCAAAAACGCGAGATCCGTACTATTTGGGACTCTTCAGCTGGATTTACAGACACCACAGTGAGTAATGATGTTCCCATCAAGACTTAACCCCAGTGCCCACCGCTTCAAACACCAGAGTGTGGCCCAGTGAACAAAGCTTTGACGTTTGATGCAATGGGTACTGGGTTCGAGCCTTAGTGGAAACAACATCATTAAATGGGGTACAGGCGCATCTCGTTGATAAGTCATAAGTAAACCAAAACGCAAGTCCTAGATTCCAGTTCAAGTCACCAAGTAGACTACAATATAAGTTCACTGGTTGATACCGCAAAAGTTGAATCATTTATGTCAACAAAGACAATGCGAGTTCATACATTAGCCGGAATATTTCTTTTTATTTAAACGATTTCACCTTTCATCTAATTTATTCGAACAGGTGTTGTTTGTTGTACTTTTCTTAGTGCATTATTATGTAAACAAAGATGGTTTGCAAACTGTTTTTGTCGAACCACTGGTTTTAATATGTTTCTTTTTATGCCTTGAAGATGTACAGGTTTTATATTCTGTAAACCCTTCAACGGAATAACCTTTTTTATGGACAAGTGAAAAATGAACCGGCCATATCAAAATAAACGCTCTAGTATTTATCCATGTGGTATAACTCTATATATCTTAAAGTACCACTTGTTCTCAATGATCATGAGTTTTATCATATTCACTGTACCACGCATAAATAGACGAACTCTTATCATATTGATATCTGTTTCACATCAAAGCATTCATTATCGATTGGTAAGCTCATCAGAACGAGAATCGAACCATTACAACAAAATCGACTCAGGAAATTATTGTTAAAACACTTCTATTCACAAAGTATTAATATAATTATCAGATATTTTAGGCGGTACGATGCTGATAAAACCCTGACTGGAATGAAAAAGTTGCTCAGCAAAACCAAACTCCGTCTATAATATTTTTAGCTATAGATCAAGGAGGTCGCCTCCCATCTGGGATCATCAAAGTTTCACACTCCATTTGTTTTACAAATCATTTAGGTACATATTCTCTCACTCTCAACTGTATGGCTCTATTACTCCTCCCTATATTTGTGAGATCACACACGCACACATAAACTGATAAACACAATTGGATGTGATGTAATCACTGATGCTGTGTTCGAGTTAACGGTGAAGCCTGTGTTTTGTTTTTTACCACAATAGTAAGCTTAGCTCCATGATGTGTTTTCCAATGACTAATGTTAGCCTACGTCTCTAAATCATACTATTTAACTCCCCTTTGGATTTCGTTTGTCTACTAAATAGACTTTACGCCGCACATACTCATATTAACCTGATTTTTGAGAACGGAAATAATAATTATCTGCCATCCTTAGATGTAACGTAACAAGAAGATGCTCCAATATGACAGTCTGCAGTAAGCGTTCATGGACAGAACAACATCTGAATTTTCACAGTTTTTGTCCTATGCAGTGTAAGAGAAGCCTAACAAAGTGCGTGTCTACTACGACTTATCCTACCTGTCCATCAGATACGATGAATGAAGATATCAAATTACTTACGAAAACATTCATAGAAGACGGACATCCACGGAAGTTTATAAGCCGTTATAGAAGTCGAGTAATACCAAAGCTAACTCTGTATACGAATCCGAAGGAAAACGTTCATATCACTCTGCCATACAGACAGAGTCAAACAGTATAATTTTGGGATGTAGGATAACATTAGTCATTAGGAAAATATATCATGGATCTAAGCTTACCATTGTGGTAAAAAACAAAACACAGGCTTCACCGTTAACTCGAACACAGCATCAATGATGACATCACATCCAATTGTGTTTATCAGTTTATGTGTGCGTGTGTGATCTCACATATATAGGGAGGAGTAATAGAGCCATACAGTTGAGAGTGAGAGAATATGTACCTAAATGATTTGTAAAACAAATGGAGTGTGAAACTTTGATGATCCCAGATGGGAGGCGACCTTCTCCATCTATAGCTAAAAATATTTCAGAAATGTCACAAAATTAAACAGTTTCCGTATATTCTATTTGCCGGTTAAACGCTAACAGAACCAAACTCCCAGTCTTACAATTTCGTGAAAATTTCAATCAGCTAGATGAAGTCCACAGAAAAAGGAATGATTGCAAGGCGACACAATACTCCCTTTTGACCCATAGGCACTGATTTAAAGAAGTTCAGGTTTTCAGTGAGATTACACCTTTCATATAATAAATTAATACATATTTGGAAAGAAAGGCAGATGAGTATTAAGTACTTGGAAATAGAAATTTTCTGGACGGTGAAGAATATTCACAACTCAGAAGGCTGATTTTGATGTTGAGTCATCTGGGCACTTTTCATTATCGTCCTTTATCATCGAGTCAAGCAGGAGTTGGGCTTTATGAATTACACATAAGGTGGTTTCGTAGCCAGTTACTGTGATCTAAGATATAAACTGTAGTTCCTGTAAATATGTGGTCAGTGTTTGCATGAGTATTTTTATTGGTTGTCCTGCTAAATTCCATTTCTTCTTCGGGTTCCCCCTGTTTGTTATTGGATGCTAAATGGCGTAAGTTTCAATGAGCCCTTTGTTTGATGACTCACCTGAGTGTAAGTATTTTCAAAATTCTCTGACATCTTTTGCGTCACCCCTGTTCAATATTTTCAAGTTTTTCCAGTCGCCCTAATATACATTGCTATCTGCATGCGAGAGCATTGACGGAAATAGGTCCCAGCACCCTAATGTTACTTGGTTTTCATCTAGACATAAACGAAGACAGTCCTTTCTGCGGAATATATTGGGTTTATTTTCATTTTGTCATAGCATATTTTGGGTTGCATAATATACAATGAAAAGTTTGTAGGTTTTTGGTCTATAATGACTCTTAGAAGTTTCAGTAGTTCACTTGTGTACTGTAAGATGTTCATCGTGATGACTTTCGGTATCTGATGAGTTTAATAGGCATCTTATGATTTAGTTGAGTGAATAATCATTGTTCTGAGAGACAGTCACTAAACCGTTCAATAAGTGGGTATACTACAATTTGTCTTTACTCTGTTAAATAGCGTTTTCATGTAACTGATTTTATATCACTAGGTTGTTGAGAATTTGATCATTACCGCTTAGTTTCTCGATATACCAAGCAATAAAAACACACCATTTGGAGAGCATCCAATTTTATATTGTCTATCCCTGACTGCTTGCCGCCTTCTATCGATCATTTTGTAATTTAGCCACCAAATTAGGAGAATTATCATTATGGTACAGTTTGACGTATGTTAATTAGTCGGACGCAATCAGCAGAAAGCCTTGCGGCTAAGTTCTATGCTTTTTGGCACTCGTCAGTAGGGCGTATCTGCAACCTTGAGGAAACTGATGTCCGCTCTGAGACTTCGTCCCATGTCATCCAGCGTTGCAGTCAGCGATGTTATCAGTGAGTCATATGGGCAGTGATTGACCTGTTGGAGGACAGGATTAGATACACTCATTGGTCTCCAGCTAGCAAGCGCAGGAGCAGCAAACAAAATTCAGAGTCCAAGGCAGCAGGGCAAACAATCAAAATGCATGTACAAACAGTGACGGCACAACTACAGAAACAGGCCGATGCCTCGGTACTGACGGAATATTTATTGTTATAATTTACTTAGCAATGTCTAGGAGTGAGATCTAGGACTAGCATTCCATCCTATTTCAGACTAATCAGCTAGGTGTACCTGCCTCCCGATAAGTGATGTTTTCATGGAGACTCGAATTCCGTACCCATCCCTTTAAGCGCCAAAGCGTAATTCACTAAGTTAATGAGCCATGAGAGACACTACTTGTTCAAAGAGTATTAGTCGTTATGATCACACACCGATATCAGTTGTAGAATAAGTGAAAACCTGGGGACACTGAATAACTG